TATTATATTATATTATATTGTATATGGCAGAGAGCAGGTTTGGTGAGTGTTTTGTTGCAGCTGCTGATCTTTTTCTTTGCAGATGGTGCAAACTCCCCCCAGTCCATTTCCTGGGCCTACTTTCCCACCTCACCACCTAGCTGGCTGAAGTCATCAGCAGGGGTCCAGTTTGTGCAGACTGCTGGCCCTGTCTGGAAGAGTGGGAAGGGGGTGGAAGAAAAAGCGACCACAATATGTGTGGGTACCCTTAGTTGGCATTTATAAAATGTTAGCATGTCACTGTTTCCCTTGGCCAGTAAGTCCCATGTAGGACACCTTTTTTTTTTTTTAACTAACTCATAGAATTTATAAATCAATGTGTGTGACTTGGGGGGCCAGTGACCTCTTCCCCCCGAAATAAACCAACAAGGCGTTCACTGGCTTTCTTTATGCACCCTCCCCCCACCCTCACCCCCAACTAGTGGCTGAAGTCACTCCAATTAACTTAAAAACATCATTGGGCCTATGAGAGAAGACATCACATTTCCCAGATCTGGTGGAGGACAAAGCAAGGGAAGAAAGGTGGGCACAGAGGTCCCCAGGAGGCTGGGTTTTGGCATCCTGTAGGCCCTTTGACAGTCTGTAAGGGATTCAGCTTTCTTCCCAGCGAAGGAAGGAAGGAAGGAAACACTGGGCTTTAGATCTGTGCTACCAGGAGGAGAAAAGGATGTCACTTCCTCTGTTTCCTAGGCCTAGATTAAAGAGCCATGCTAGGAAAGAGTGCGGACTTGCTTCTGAAAGACCCTTTGCCGTGTCCCTGCAGATATGCCCTGCGTGCAAGCCCAGTATAGCCCTCCGCCTCCAGGTTCCAGTTATGCAGCGCAGACCTACAGCTCAGAGTACACAGCGGAGATCATGAATCCCGACTGCGCCAAGCTGACCATGGACCTCGGCAGCACCGAGATCACGGCCAGGGCCACCACATCCCTGCCCAGCTTCAGTACCTTCGTGGAGGGCTACTCCAACTACGAATTCAAGCCCTCCTGCCAGTACCAAATGCAGCCGCCTGGGCCGCGACCCTTGATCAAGGTGGAGGAGGGCCACCCGCACAGCTATCACCATCACCCCCACCACCACCATCACCACCACCATCACCAGCAACAGCCGCAGCCAGAGCCAGCCATTCCGCCCTCCTCCGGACCGGAGGACGAGGTCCTGCCCAGCACTTCCATGTACTTCAAGCAGTCCCCGCCGTCCACGCCCACCACGCCGGGCTTCCCCC